GCACCATTATTGTTGGAGAAGATAAAGGCCATGTTCATGGTGTATATTCATTGCACTTGATCCAAGTACTATACGAATATGATATATGAAAAAAATAATCAAAACCCTTAATCGTTTGTTGATTTTTATTGTTAATAAAATTATTATTACGAAAGTGATTCTATTAATCTAATTTTTTATTTTTATATTAAAATTTATTTTTTTATTTTTATACAAGAACCTTTACCATATCCTATTAAACTAAATGACGGTTGATTATTTATTTTGACGATAAATTTGTTATTGCCGTTGGAAATATTACAGTACTATTATAAAAATCGAAAGATAAAAATTAAATTACATTTTTGTCATTGATAAATAATTATCTTTAAAAAATAGTCGTTATGATTGGTGTAATCTTTGAAAGAGACGATATTCCATGAGATTAACATAATTTTGAAGAAAAAGTGATGTCCGCTGACACTAAAAAAATGATAATATGTAAACTATAACCATTTTCTTTTCTCGTCTTGTATGAATTATATTTTATAAATTTATGAGTGTTAAACCATTGGGGAAAGAAGAAGAAAAACAAGTCCGGAAACCCAAAAGTAGACTTACGGAGCAAGATCTTTGAATTTGTCATTCATTGTTATAATATATTGCTGAAACTAAAGCTGGATTTGATGATTCATCGCTTTCGGGAAAGACCTTCCCCAAATATGTTTATATTTCAACTATTACAAAAAGATGGTGCGCACAATTATTATTATTTATTATTATATGTTGAGTTGTACATATAATTGTATCGTGCGTTGCATGGAGTGGGAAATTGGAAAGAAGAAAAGTTGGATAAAACGGAAGAAAAAGAGGCTTGTCCCTTCACCTAACATATAAAATAAAATTGGAATTAAATGCAAATGAAAGGACGACGGTCTAACATGTTTGTTTCATTTTCAAATTCAAAATATCGAGTCATTTTACTTCGTGGGAAAATAAGATATTTTTTTTACGTATAAGATATCTGTTATATTATTTTTTGATTTAAGGTTATTGTTACAGTGTCAAAGAGAGGATATCAAAATTATTACGGGACTTCAATTTTTTTCGGGGAAGAGGCATGGATCATAGTGTGTCTTTCCCATCACCGATTATTTTTTCTTTACTTTGCATTTCTATGGATTCTGGTTGGAAAAGTTGAAGACGCATGGTAATCTATACGTTTTCCACCAGAAAATTGAAGTCGCATGGTGTTCATGGCGGCCTTCCCTTTATACTATAGCGATAATCCTAGATCAATAAATAATACGACGAGCGTCTGACATGGGAATTTCTTTTTTCCCACTGCTCTACGCGAGCAAAATTCCTGAATTTATCGGGACAAGACGAGATCCCACAATACACATTTACTATTTAAAATTATATAATTATAAAATATATACTTAAGAGATATATAATTTGTACGTCTTTTTGTAATTCTACGGTAGCATTTATTCTTTTAATGTAGTGAGTTTTTTATATCAAATCTTTCTGATATCTTTTTTTACAAACGATGTTCCATTATTGAGCTTAAAAAAAAGCACTACATCTTGGAATCAATTGCAGTAGTTCATTTGGGGTCCTACAAAAAACCCAACTTGCTCCTTCTTCCATAAATGCAGAATAGTAGAAGAGGATAATAGCAATGACGTGGAGGGTAGCATGTCGTTATTAAAACCAGAAAACCAAATCTTACAAACCTTACGATAAGAAGATAGATCCCACGAGTGATGTGTCCAATTCTAATGAAAACAATAGTACATATAAAATCATCTTCCTCTAGGTTTGGATAATGGCTCCACTTTCAATAATGTTGAATTATAGAGATAGTATGAATCAATAGGCATCGATGGTAAAAGAATTATAGTTATTCTTTGAGGTGTCAAGTTCGAACACCATAAATATCATGGGTGAATGTGTGAACGTTTAATATCAAATGGTTGAGAGTTATATTTGAACAGATATTATTTTATATTTAACCTAAATTAACCCCAAAAAAAAGAATTTTAAAGATAACTTGGGGTATTAATTAAAAAAAATTAAAGGATTAATAATATTTTTTTAAATTTAAAGTATGCTTAAAATTTTCAAAAGTTGTGAGAAAAAAAATTCACGATATAACGCGTTCCAACAATTAATTGTTGAGATAGGGTGTTTGCTACAGTTCGAATGAAGGTCGCGGGGTGGTCTGGGCGACCAATGAAGGTCGCCGGGTGTTCTGGGCGACCAATGAAGGTCGCCAGGTGATCCATGGGAGAAACAATCAAACAATAATTATTTGGGTTAAATGCAAATTTGGTCCTCACAACTTTACACTCTCACACGTGTGTTTTAATATTTAGGGGTTAATAGCATTTTTGGTCCCCTATGCTTTGTAATCTATTTGTTTAATCATTTAGTGACATTTTTAATGTTTTGTTTCAGACATGTATATTTTAATAATTATATTTTAGTCACTAGTTGTTTATTCTGTCAAGTTTGTGTATGTTTCATTTTGATCATAATATTTTTAGTTATTTCATTTTAATCACTGATTTCATGTGTTTTATATATTTTCCTTAATTTTCGAAATTGGCCATGAAATTTGTAAACATGTTATTTTAGCCACTGTTTAGTATTTATGTTTAATTATAATTTAGTCATACATGTTTCTTGTTTATCCTATTTTAGTATGTATTTATTTCTCCCTACCAACGAAATTATTTCGCAAAATTTTCCAATATAAAATAAAACTAAATAAAACTAAAAAATAATGAAAAATACTCGAAATAAATAAACGTAGAACAAATAAAAATTATTGAATACAAAACAAGATATCCCAATAATCAATTTTAAAATAAATACATACTAAATACAAAACAAGATATCTCAATAATCAATTTTAAAATAAATACATACTAAAATAGGATAAACAAGAAACATGTATGACTAAATTATAATTGTTTGTGACTAAAATAAATACATGTATGAGAGTGCAAAGTTATGAGGACCAAATTTGCATTTAACCCAAACAATTATTGTTTGATTGTTTCTCCCATGGATCACCTGGCGACCTTCATTGGTCGCCCAGAACATCCGGCGACCTTCATTCATTGGTCGCCCAGACCACCCGGCTACCTTCATTCGAACTGTAGCAAACACCCTATCTCAACAATTAATTGTTGGAACACGTTATCTCGTGAATTTTTTTTTCTCACAACATTATCTCGTAAATTCAGCCGGAAAATATAGTTTGGAAAGAAAAAAATTATAACCTGGGCTGATTGCTGTAATAGATCATGAACACGTCGTTCTAGCACAAATAGTCTCAATAAGAATTATTATTTGAAGAAATTCGTTGTTCCAATAAGATAAGTTTCAACAATATTTTTTAAGAATTCGTTTTGTTGAAACAATGAGTTCCTTTAAATAATAAATTTTTATTAGAATTCATCTTGTTAGAACAAGTTTGTTATCCACTATAATAATAACCTAGATTACAATTTTTTTATGATAACTGCATTCCCCTAATTTTTTAATCCCAATTGAATTATTTGGCTTAAACAGTCTCTTACTTATATATACGGTTAAGATTCACTTACATCTAATATAAAACTTTTAATTTTATACCCTTTTAGGATAATTGGACGAGAAAAATTCAAATGTTGAGATTATGTCTTTGTTTTTTTTACTGAATATCTTCTCATTTCCTATTATTAATCTCAACCTTTGATTTCTTTTATCTAACAATCCTAAAAAATTTAAAACTAAAAAGTTTTACACTATATATATATATATATTAGCTCTAACGAACAACCGAAATATGGCAAGAGGGGGTGAATTGACCTTTTAAAAATTTGGTGGAAATAATCAAAAAATAAAAACTTTTTGCATAACGATTTAGAGTAATTCGACTTCTAAACAAAGTCTACATCCACACTAAGGATTTCTCAAATCCACTAGATTCGCTTAACTTTGAGGACAAGATGTAATCTTACAACAACCCACGAGGTTTATACCCAAAACCTTGATTATACTATTTCCACAAGAGGAAATACAAATAAAGCAAACAAAGAGAAAAACCCCACAAGGCAAATATGTTTGTACTAATTAAGCTCTCACCCAAATCACACTTGAACAAAATAAACAATGAAGCTCACAAATATGTTTACAACAAAGAACTTTACAAATTAAGCACAAAACAAGACTTTGATGTTGGTAGGTTGGTTCAATGTGTTTCTTGTTAACCTTGGGAAGCTTTGACCTTCAAATTAAACATTCTCCGTTAATTCTAGCCGTTTGGAGCCATTGGAGATCATTATAGCCGTTACCTACAACCAAAAATAGAATTTAATGCACAAGAGATCGATCCTTTAGTGAAAGGGATTGATCATTTTTTTTAAAAAAATCGATCATTGGAACAAAGGGGTTGATCCTTTAAGGGAAGGGATCTATCCTTTTCCTTGAGGGATCGATCTTTTTCCTTGAGGGATCGATCCTTTACCAAACTCACTGGAATCCAAGAGATCGATCATTTGGTCAAAGGGATCATTCTTTTGCTAGTGGATCGATCCTTTGAGCCAAAAATAAATTTTGCAATTTTTTGTTATATCAAAATCTTTTTAGGATCATTTAGTTTTATACCTTGTTAGGACCATTTGATTGGGTGAAATCTTAGTTTTTTCAGTGAATATCTTCCCATTTTCTATTGTTAATATCAACTTATAATTTCACTCGTCCAATGATTCTAAAAAGGTGTAAAACACTAAAAGAATTTTACATAGTGTAATTGGATCTTGCCCCCCCCCCCCACACACATATATATGAATTTGGCAAAATTGTGAGGGAAATACCCATTTGATTTACTCGGGCCTTGACCCAATGCAATCAAACTTTTGCTAAAAGGGCGTTGATCCAATATAATCAAACTCGGATCAAGAAAGCTGACCCGCTCTTTTTCTTGGATCCGATAATTTAAGTTAACTATTATCACTCGAAGCCGAATTCAATAGCGAGCCCTAGCGGTACGCAGCACTGCCACTGATTCTTGGGGAAAAAAGGAAAAGAAAAGAAAATCTCTAATTGGTCGCGTTTAATTTTTTTCCTTTGTTCTAAAGGTAAATTTCTTAAATTTTGCTTTCTAAGCTCTAATAATTATTTCCACTGCTGATAAATTACGACGAACAAGAAGGTAAATCTTTGAATTTGAATTTCGGATAACCTTTTCTTGATTTAGCGTTTACTTAATTATAAAACTAGGTTTTAGCTATAAATTTGAGTAAATATTAGGTTAATCAGTAGACAATAGTGGAGTTAATAAGCTTCTTTAATGTTTCAGTTCGGTGTTTATTACGTGTTTAGGTTCCTGTTTTTTTTCCCTGTTAATCGCAGATTATAAGTGAGAAGAATATGGATTTTGATGAATATGAGTATTTAGAAAAGTCAGTTGAAAATCCTGAGCCTCAAAAGGCGAAGAAGGAAGATGGTAACGGCAGAGTTGATAATGTTAAATCTGATGAGAGGAGTCGTAGTCGGATTTCGAAGCACAAGAGGGGAGAGAGAGCCTATGAGAGTGATGATGATCATAGTCACTCCAAACGCTCAAAATCACGTGATGAACCACTGCATGATCTTGACCGGCGCAAGGAACGAGGCTCATCTCGTCACAGGTCACATTCTAGAGATGGTGAGATGGATAGGCACAGGAGTAGCAGAGAACACAGAGTCAAGGAAAGGGACAAGGAGGAGAGTAATGGGAGAGACAAAGAGAAGGAACGTGAACGAGATAGGAGAGAACGTGATCGTGAGAGGGACAGGGAGATAGAGCCGTCAATTAGAAGCAAGAGTCGACCAGAAAGAGAACGTGAGAAGAGTCGGGACCGTGAGTTTAGAGAAAGAGAAAAAGAGAGAGAGCCTAGGGAACGGGACAGAGAAAGCAGGTATCCTTTCATTTCGTTATCATTTACATTTGTTCAGCTTTTGGCTTTTTTATGCATGTTTGTCTTCTTACATTTGGCTTGAGAATTGCTGTAATAGTTAACTGTAAATATTAGTTTGGTGTATATAATTATTTTAGTTTGTTCATTTTTTATTAGTAAATTTAACAGCCAGATCTCTTTCTATCTTCATTGAAGCAGTACTTGCGTACAATGGTTCAGATGCAACATGGCTTTATTTGAGATTGTACATTTTACATGCCAATCTTGAGTCAAAAGAGTCTAAATTGACAGTGTCTATTTGATTGAACAATTTTCCCTTATTATTATTATTTTATTTTGGGTGGGGGGAGGTTAACAGTAATCACTTGCTTGGAACTTAAATTTGCGAGGACTTTGTGTTATTTTTTTATGAATGATTTTATTCAAAAGACACTAAATTTCACCTATAACGATGAAAAGGTTGAAGATTTCGTTTACTATTATAGCTTGCTATTATTATTATTTTATTGAGAATGCTAGTGTAGGATTCTGTAAAAAAATGCCACCTACCGGATAGTGAGGCTACTATATCATGCTGGTTGCAATTCATTGTATATCAAGGAAATTATTATTGAGTTGCCTATGTGATTATTTTAGCCACCCCTAGTTTGGGTAGACATGAGAAATGGGATCTTGGGTTGACCTTTACTTTTTTTTTGATAGAAGTTGGAGGTCTCATTAGAAACTGCCTTCGTATTCTTCCACATACTTAGAAGTATGTTGAAGAACATTGGAAGGAAGAAAAGAGTGCCTCATATTTTATTAAATAGAAGACCAAGTACATATGGTAACACCAAACCCTCATACGGGAATAAACACCATTACAAACCATAACACCTAAAAATCTTCCATCTGATTGTAATACGGAATAGGGGTGGCTGAAATTGTATATTATTTGCAGTTTATGGTGTGCACTGATATTGTGATTTGATGGTGGTGCATATGACATTAGAATTGATTAATAGGTGGGATTTCTTCTCCCTCTGATTGTAAGTAGGTTATGTTTGAGAATTTTGAACTTCGAGGATAGTGAGTTTCTTCATTGTGTTCTAGATGATGCGATGGGTTACTTTCGGTGATGTGAGCAAATAGTTTATTAGTTCATTTTATTCAAGCTATGTTCTAGTGAGCAGTGTGATATAGATATTTTTCTCTCCCTTATTGGAGTCCTGTTTCCCTTTGTCTCTCAAAAAGTTGGCGTTTCTATATATGAGACCCATTCAACACCACATCCATCTTGGCGTATAATCACGTAGAAGATCTAGATAATCAAAAGCTTTACTCTGCCGTAGATACTCTCTACCAATTGTTTTTGAAATATAGTTCTCCATTGCTTAACAGGTTTTATACTTTTATCTAAATGAGTTTTTGAGTTTTTTCTACAGCTCTTAAGTTTTGTATAGTTGTGCTATTTATTCAGTCTTCTAAATTCTGAATATTGAACATTAGATTCTGGGAACTCGCAGATGTGCTAGAGCAATGCTCAGATGGTCTTTCTGGCAATTGGGCCAGCCACTGGAAAATCGGGTCATGGGTTTTAAATGTTTCTTCCTAGACTATATTTGAAAGCTTGCATTGCAAGAACGAAGTTTCAGTCTTGGAGGTTTTGACTGGAGTGGTGATATCATGTTATGATTTCCGTATCCCCCACCTTTAAAAAATGAGTTGCTTAATCGTATCTATTATGTTGCAGAAATGCTGGTGAGGGTATGATGGGCTTTGCTTAAGCTTTAAAGAAGCAGCTCATCTTCATGTTCTGTGGAATACAAGATTGGCCACCCCTTTTTATTCTTTATTTTTGCAGGATAAATCATTAAAACATTATCTTGAAGTTTTAGGTTTTAGGTAACCATGGTGTTTCCTTCTATTGTCTCATGTTTGATTTCGATGTTATTAGAGTCAAGGTGTAATGTTGACTTTGTGTAGTTCCCTGCAGGACCATGTAACGAGGGTTTGACATTTTTATGCATGTTGGAGAGAAAATATTGATGCCATTCTGGATTTTCCTTTTCTGTTTTTGTTATTTTTTTGGGCAGTGATTGCATGAAGTGTAGGTTCGAGATATTTCTTCACTTCCCAGAATCAGAAACACTTTTGTCCCTACTCGTCTTTACCTTTTCTTGCACATCTTTATTACTTATGTTTGGTCCCTTTTAGACAATTAAATGTTTTTTGTGTTTTCCTCCCCTTTTCTCAGGAGGTATAAAGACAAAAAGGAAGATGCGGCAGAGGCTGAGGTTGATCCAGAAAGGGATCAGAGGACTGTATTTGTGTATCAGGTATTAATGTATTCTCATTTTTGTGGCCCTGATGTTTTTTCTTCCTAACTGTTGATTTGTGAACGATTCTTGACAGATATCCTTGAAGGCTAATGAAAGAGATGTTTATGAGTTCTTCTCTAGGGCTGGCAAGGTGATCTCTTATTAACTTCATTGTCCAATCTCCTTTTTTTCCCATAAGAATTGGAGGTCTCGTTAAAAACCCCTTTCATACTTCTTGGCAAACCGCAAGGTAGTCACTAGGTAGCAAAAGAGGGAAAAGAGTACCTCAAGTTTATTTAAAAAACTCCAAAACATCATACAAGGTTCGACCACAAAATAATAAAATACAAACCAGAACTTGGCATAAGAATAAACAGCCTACCAACAACTTCCCTACAAAACATCCCACAACAACCAAACCTAAAACCTCACTACCCGATTCCTTGCTTAGCTAACACGGCAGTCCTTAGCACACCGACTGACATGGCGAAAAATAACAGAACGATCCTTAGCAACCATTACGATGTCTCCATTTTTTTTAATGTTATGAAACTTATTTTCATTTCATTACTGTTCTATTCATTTATTAAAGGATTTGTTAGCAATTGTAATCTGTATGAAGAATATGTTAGCAATTGTAATCTGTATGAAGGATGCGATTGGACTTAATTACCTGAAGGTTCAGCTGGAATTCTCTATAGCGATTAGTTTACATGTAGCTATAGTCAATTATTTTTATTATCATAATTCATGCCTTCACATTTAAGTCATAGAATGATTTTTAGAAACAATCTGTTGATTTTGTTTATACAAAAATTTGGAAGAGGTTAAATATATTTATTATTTGAACTACCCAGATTCTTTCAACAGTAAACTTGAATCATCACATATGTAGATAAATACACTGACAAGTTTGTGTGTACCTCTATGATGAATGCTGTTGTGTTTTCTTCTCTTTTTTCCCCTGCATGCTTATTAATCACAATTTTCAGGTTCGAGATGTTCGCCTCATAATGGATCGAAGTTCAAGACGTTCCAAAGGAGTTGGGTAAGTATAAAGTACTAAACCTTAATGACCAACTTGCCAGTTTTAGGTGCTAGCTTGTTGCATGGTATAAACCTTCTATTTTGTTATTTAAAAAATATTTATTGTGTATCAAACAAATCTTTTTCTTCATTTGTCTATGCAGGTATGTTGAGTTCTATGATGTAATGTCAGTCCCTATGGCTATAGCACTTTCTGGACAGCCTCTTCTTGGCCAACAGGTGATGGTGAAACCATCAGAAGCTGAGAAGAATCTTGTTCAGCCTACTACATCTGTGGCAGCTGGACAGACAGGTCAATTTGCTGCTGGGGGGAGAAGGTTGTACATTGGGAACCTACATTTCAACATTACAGAAGAACAACTACGTCAGGTAAAAGATAGTAGGGAGTGTAGTAATGTAAACCTCAAAGACATGATCTTAATTATTGGCTTCGAATGCTCTTAATTTTTAATGACACTGGGTTTGGGTTGTTATCTAGAAGCTTTGTTTATGATTCGGTTAACATGCTGATCTTACTGAAGAAGAGTTAAATAAAAGATATATGGAGGGAAATATTCAAAAACATACAAGAGGGCAAAACCTAGGCATGGCATTCATGCGTCTTTAGAGCTTCAAAGGATGTTAACTATGGAAAACAGAAACTCTTAAATGTGGTAAAAAAATTGGTTGCAATGTTGAGTTGGGGAGAAAAGTCCCAACTTAAGAAACTAAACAGAACTAGTGTCCCTTTTCTTGTTCCGTTACCATGTTCATGACCAGCTCTTACAAATAACAATAATATAGCTGTTGAACTCAAGTCTCAAGTTTCCTCCATTTTACATTCATTTGCATCGGTTTGACCTGAAGTAGTGATCAATTAGGTTGGTAAGCAATATGAAACGAGTCCTTAAATATGCTTTTTTTACATGCTGTCTTTAATGTTAGGTTTGCTAGTCTTCTTATTCTTGAGGTATTTTGATCAATATAGCTTCTCTTCGTCATCTTTTATAGATTTCTAGTTCCCCTTTCTATCTAAACCTCAAAATTAAATACTATCACTATACCATACTTCCTTTTGATCCTCTATATTTTTTGCTGAATTGATATTGCTCATTTCCTTGTATAAAATTCTCAGGTTTTTGAACCTTTTGGTAATGTGGAGCTGGTGCAGTTGCCCCCGGATGAAACTGGTCATTGTAAAGGTTTTGGTTTTGTCCAGGTAATACCATGCGAACAATCTTAGAATCGATTGTGATTTTTCTTTTCATCTGGACAGTATGTTGAGACTGGAAGTGCATGTACTCCACCCCCCCCCCCACCTCGAACAAAAAAAAAAGGGAGAAACTTTGATCCTTATCAATCAGGACCTGGTACAATGCTTAGATTACTCTTGAAACATGAGATGGCCTTATTTCCAAGATACTTAATGGTGTCTGTTCTGGAAAGGTAATTGAATACTTGTTCTTCTTGCAGTTTGCCCGACTGGAGGATGCTAAGAATGCCTTGAATTTGAATGGACAGCTGGAGATTGGAGGTCGAGTAATCAAGGTTAGCAGAATAATGTTTTGGTTTCTTAAGGGGAACATATATTCTTTAGTATCTGATTTAAGGTTCCTACCTCATTTGAACCATCAACTTCTGAACTAAATTAACTACTCCTTCAAAAGTCTCAACCATTTATATTCTTTTGTCAGCAACTTTATATACGGTTGTCGGTCCCACCCAATTGGACAATTTTAAGAATGAGAGCTTTTTATTCCAATAGACACAAGCACCTGAACTAAGCTTTAGATCGTAATAAGAGGAGTGAGAGTGAATCTGAATGACATACACCGATTACATGATCAATAATAAACATTATTATCATGTAAGAACAATTTGGACAATAGAAAATTGCTTGTCTTGCGTACATATTGAGGTAAAAAAATATTTTCTTTTACGAATGGTTTAGAGATTTATAAAATTTCTGATAACTATATACTTCGATAAATTTTAACTAAATAACTTAAAACATTAATGTATATAGTATAAGACTAATCAAATACCGTCCACGCAGGACAGGCATTATAGGATGCAAATCCTTCCTCTCCTGTAAACCATACATTTAAACCTAATTATGATAACATAGACTAGAATAAATGCTTTTACTTTAGTCAAGCTTAGATTAATCTTAGAATAGACTTAATAGGTGACTAATCACACACCTAAATAAAAAATATTAGTGATGATTCCCCGACTTGCGATTTATGCCTAGCTTTCCTAATTCACATTCAACATGTCAGAACAACTATCAAACATGACATGATACTCTAATCATGCGGGCTAAATCACTTTCTATATGGAAGCAAAGGAATCTCGTTTTATTCAGCGGTGGAAATTCTTGTTCTGATGATATAATTTTGTCTGGTTATCTTCAAATTTCACGTAGGAATGGACTTACAGGGACTTTAGTTATTTTTTATGTGCGTGTTTTCTTTTCCATCTGTTTAGGTATCAACTGTTACTGATCAAGGTCCATGGCAAGATGCTGGGACAAATGCAGCTGATTTTGATGACGATGAAGGTGGCTTGGTGAGTATTATTCGTTCTCCTCCCTTATCTCTCTTTTCGTTAATGCATCTAAAGAGGTATCAAAGGGCTAAGAATGGTTGCTGTTGAACCCAGCTTTAGAAGATATAGTTCGATTTTGAGAATGCATAGACAACCAACCAAAAGTCATTGAGTCCCCTTGGGTGTCCTATATTTGCCATTGTTTTGCTAGTTTTATATGTATCTTATGGTCTCGGATAGTTTTGGCACATGTTTTTTCCCGACTTTTTTAGGAATCTAACAACATTGTTTATGATTCAGTCTCTGAATTCATCATCTCGAGCACTTCTCATGGCAAAGTTGGACCGCAGTGGCACTGCATCTAGGTTTGCCTCCAATCCTGTAGTTATTTTATTTATTAGTTATCTGTCTGACTATTTCTCTCCTCTATTTGCAGTATTACTGGCTCCATAGGCATGCCTATTAATAGCACCGGCCTTGGTGCTACAACAGCACCAATCCTCGGTGCTGCACCTTTGGCACAATCCCTCATTCCTCCTACTCTACAGGCCTCTATTCCTACCATTTCTGGACTTCCAGGTGGTCTACAAATCCATACTAATGGCATCCCTATTATCGACACAGTTGGAGTCCCTAGTGAATGCCTTTTATTGAAGAATATGTTCGATCCGGGTCTCGAGGTTGGTATTGTGGCTAGAATTGCGTAGAGTTTCTTTTTAATATTTTTGTCTAATCATATAGTATTCTCGTGACAGACGGAACCCGATTTTGATTTGGATATCAAAGAAGATGTTAAAGAAGAATGTTCAAAATTTGGAAAATTGAAGCATATTTATGTAGACAGGTAATTCCTTGTAACCCGCTATGCACACAAATCTGTTCACGAGAATGTGTTTATGCGATTTAATCGACCGCCGCCTTTTCTTTGTTGAATCTCATTTTTATGGGAAAAAAAAATCGTTCTCTTGAACAGGGACAGTGCTGGGTTTGTCTACTTACGATTTGAAGATGTGCAAGGTGCGAAAAACGCACAACGGAACTTACATGGAAGATGGTTCGCTGGAAAAATGATCACCGCTGCATACATGATGCCACAAACCTACGAGGCGAAGTTTCCAGATAGTAACAAATAGTTGAATGATGTGTGTATAACCTGACACTGTCTGAAATCAAGAGGATTATATTTCCGTTGGGAAATATATTCAGTGCAAAGCAGGGAAGTAATTTGTATGGTTACTTAAACAAACAAACTATATCTGGCATTAGATGCACTAATTTCATATTTCTGTCTGATTAATGTACCAATCTGTTTTGCCTTTGCTAAACTGATGTTACGAACATCATTGTTTTGTTCTTTTTAATAGTATTATCATCAGTTTTTAGTGAAATTATTTGAAAGGTTTGTTTTCTTATAATTTAGTCTTTCTTTTATAATTTTTTATTATAAACGATTAATTGTAATTAGATGTAGACTTTTTGGGTAAGCTACATCTCAGATTAAAAATATTACATAAATTTGCATGATGGAATTGACGTAAATGAAGTCTTTTTTTAAAGTGATTGAACAATCAAGAACGATACAAAACCTTGGAAACCAATGTATGTTTAGGGAAAGGGTACAAAATTACCAACGGAGTTTCATAGTTTAGTTTTAAGATTTTGTAAAGCTTTGAGCCCAAGCCACGCATCATGCGGTCGAGCTCAGCCCAAATGACTTGACAATGGTGCTCACTCTATCTGTAAAAGTTCTGGATGTAATCTTTTTACCGGGAACGAGTGGAACCCCCGTTTTAAAGCAAAAATAAGTCTGATTCCGTAATAAAATGTTGATTCATTGAACTATGCAAAAATGATCATTTTGATCGGCAACCTTTCAAATGCTACAAAGTGGCCATTTAAACTTGTTGAAAAATCGTGTTATTTTAACGTTGCAAGGCACCATTTTGTAATGGTTTAGAAAGTTTAATAACCATTTTGTAACATTTGAAAGGTCACTGACCAAAAAAAGATCATTTTTACATTGTTTAAATGTACTTCACCCTAAAATGTTCAACAACCATTCAAAATATAGACAATTCCGTGATAACATTCCTCCTCTTTAAGATTAAAAGATGCTGCAAGAATTCGTTGTTTTGTTGGTCTAAGCAACACTCTTAACATTACCACCTCTTGGAAACATTCAGTATCACATAGGAAAAGCTACAATAGAGCAAAAAGAAGAAGAAGAAAAACTACGAAAGCAGCAAATATGCACAGCTAAAACATGTTTATTTAGTTTGGCTTTCAAGTTTCAGCAGAAACAACCACCGAAATTTCCTAGAGTTTCTATCGAACTCAAAAGTTTACATCTCTAGATTTCCCCTTTCTATTCTTTCCATTGATTTTCACCGTCCAGGACTAAAGAGTACAGCCTTGTATTACCTCAAGGTCACGGCTAAAGCTTAGGTAGTGTCTAGACTAAACATAAAGAGAAACTCGATGCAACACTAGGGCATGCATGCTCTCTAGATTACCAAGGTTCTTAAAACATAGCTATAGGGAGGTGAATAAATATATTACGAGACCCATTGGTGTAGTTTACCCTTTAATTAATAATCAATTAGAAGCAAGGTCAACTCCAAAATAATTGACAACTCCATGATTGATGCCCACGTCAATTTAGCCAACCACCAACAACCCACCAAATAATATTCCATTATTTTAAAATTTTCTATGAAAATAAAATTAATTATTATAAAAAATACTCAGATATTAAAATATATCTGAATTTATATTAAAATAAACCTAGATATTACATACGATCGAACTGATGACAAAATATATATAAACTGATTGATGTATCTTTGGATTCCTTATTTTTTTTCTATTTTTTAATAAAGAAATTTCCAAATTGGAGGTTTAATTTTAATTTTATACAAAGCCGTCGGCTCGTAGTCTATTTATTCCTTTTGATTTTCCGCTTTGTGTGGCCCATACGTGGCTATAACTTGGACGCCTTTTACCTTTTGGATGCAAAAGTCAATCAAATTTATTAAAATTATAAAAAATGGTCCTTCTAACATAATAAATTCTCATAGTTTTAATGATTATTTTTATAAAAATTCGATAAATTTATTATTCATTTTATAATAATTTGAGAAGTTTAATGATCATTTTGTAACACACAAATTTTTTCTGATAAAAAATATTATTTTGGTATAATTCAATGACTTTTGATATATTTTATCTTAATAATAATAATAATGTTAGATTGGAAATTGGGTAAAGTACATGAATGGTCCCCCAACTATAAGGTATTACTTTATTAATACTCTCGATTATTAAAAGTTACAAAACGATCCTCCGACTATAGAGTGTTGCTTTGTTGAGTCATTCGATTATTAAAAGTCACAAAATGATCACCCGACTATTCATTATGTTCTAAACTTTTCCTTTTAGGTTAAACAATTGATGATATTCTGAGCTGAACGTTAACATACTGACTGTGGTAAAACATTTGTGTACTTTACGCTTGTAAACTATGATAAAATATATAAAAAGATATAAAACTTATGAATGAAATAATATTATGACAATCTAATTTAAAATAATGAACGCAATAAAAGCAGCAAAATTCCCTCCAGATTCCACGCCGTGTTTTGTCTTACGTTTCAAGCAACAACGCCGCGCCCCTCTTTCTGACTATTCTCAAATTAAACAGTATTTTTATTTACTTACGTTTATATAATAAAAGATCAAAATATAACATCAGTACTCAAATAACGAATAAAAGCTGTCCAGTTGAACTACAATTTTTTTAGGCGTTGATATGACTTGTCGTGAGAATGTACATTTCAAGAGACACGTCTTTCATAACTACGGTTTTTAGAATCGGATCGGTATTTTACCGATTTATTGATTTAACCGATTAGATTGATCGGAAGAATAGGATGACGTCATAATTATTTAAAATTTTAAATAAAAATACCAAAAACTTTTAATAAAAAACTAAAAACATTTAGATTGGACCGGTTCATGGTCCGGTCCGGTTCGAACGGTTCAAAGCCGGTTCAGCGGATCTTTGCGGTTCACTAGTAGCGGTTTAACCGGGATATAATGAACTGGACCAGGCAACGGTTCCCGGTTGAACCGACCGATCCGATCCAGTTTTCAAAACACTGTTCAGGACTACATCAGATATCCTAAAAATATTTATAAAAATATATCTTAAAAAAATTGAAAAAAAAATTATGAGGATTAGCATTATAATTTAATACATATTAATTTAATGAGTTGAAGAGTTTAATGGGGTTAGTTTATATATACATATTACGATGTTTAGGTTATATTTTTTGACAATGTGAGATAAAAATTAAAAAATATATTCCTTAAATTTTTTATCTCTATATCTAATGAATCTACTTATACATTATTGTTAAATTACATTATGTTAATATTTAATATTAAGATTTGTATTAATTAAGATTAGATATTAGATATTTTTTATATGTCAATATATTTAAATACTAAATCAATAATATAAGATGTTTATGTTGAAAGTTTTAACTATATAAACCTTAATAATAAATATATATATTAATTAGAAAGTAGTTCATAATATTTTCAGTTTCATTAGACTCGTAAGCTCTTTCGGGATCTCCCTCTAAAATTGTTGAAGGTCATATACCTAATCAATTTTTCGGTTAGTAGGAAGCAACAATCTTAATTATTATAACGTGAAAAAAATACTTTCAGGTACTGCTTATAGATGTGTTATACTCTTAAGCTCACCAATTTCAGAAGGAAGAACATCTTGTAGCTTATTCAATCTTAAATTACTACAATAAAAACATATAATTAAATAAATTACCTGAAAATTATACATTATCTCATAATCTAGATTTAAAACAAAAGAACATATTGTATTTTAAGGCATTTGAGCCGCCTTTTATAATTAATTTTATATTTGATCTTACATGAATATACTGTTTTCATTTAAGTAAAAGTACGTTTCACGTAACTTGCCTTATCAGAAAGGATGTTAGATCGGTAAAATTTGAGAAATCGGCAATTTTTGGCACCTAAAAAATATTGAAAATTAGAAAATAAAGGATAAAATAACACTTTAGCCCATCATCTTATGGTTTAATTATGCTTTCAATCCTTATGCTTTTCAGATTTTCGATATAGTTTAATTACGCTGTCGTTTTCGTGTTTGTTTTGTGAAATTACAGGACCTGAAAGTTCCGGATGTGTAGGTGGCTGTCAAACTACGAAAATCCCAACGACAAAAGAGTTCATTTTTCTTAATTTTTAATTCAGTTTTCAGACATATACCATTAGTCAAACTTCCAGACAGAGAAATTTGAAACAATAAAATATTGTCCACCGAAAACAATTTCCTTCGTATTCTCTTTCTGTTTCTGTGTTCATCTCAATCTCTAGCTTCCTTTCTGGTACTTTCCCTCCCTTTCTTTCTTTCTTTCTTTCTCGATTTATTATTTGCTTATTTACTACTGCATATACTCATATACGCCATGTTTTATGCATGTGCTTATCGTTTTTTTGTTTACAGAAGGTGATATTTTTAGAATTAATATGAACATCCTCTGGTTGGAAAGTGTAGGAAAACATGAAAGAAAGTTAATATCTAAAGAGTTTAGTTTTCTGGTTCTTCTTCTTCTTCTTGTTTTTGGTTCTTTCTGATCACCTTGACTTGTGAAATTTTGGGTCTGAATTTTCCTGTTTCCTATTGAGAAGAAGCAGATCTAATTTGAAGAACTTATAATGATTGATTCTTATATAGCAAGCAAGCATCTTTGTGATTTACTATTTCAATTGCATGTGAATTTTGTGTTTTAACTTTAATTAACGTGCTCTACAAAGGTAAAGGCCATGGATGGGAATGGAAGAGTTCATCCAGAATGTCCTAATGCTGCAAATCCATACCATGAATGTGGTGTCCTCTGCTTAGAGAAGATAGCTGAAGGGAAAGGAACAAAGGCAAAGGAGAAAATGACATTAAGTAATCAAATCCCATCCGTGCTTAGTTGCTTTATTTCCAGCATTTGATGGTCTTTGTTTGTTCAATTCTATGGCTAAATCTCTGTCGATTTCGCATCCTTAAGCTTCGCGTGCTACCGATTCATTCAAGGTTGATGACTAGAATCTAGTTAATGGTTTAAGTAAACTAATAGAAGTTTATTTGTCGAACTTGTCGCAAGAACCAAAGTTCAAATTTCGTTACTATTATCCCTCTCTGAGGGCATGCAGCATGCCTTGGACTGGGATAGCTTCCCCTGACCTAAACTTTCATTGAA